GTGGTTAAAATAAAGCATAATATCCATGCAATGTTTATAGTTATTGCAGGCAGTGTGTATTATATGTACAGGCATCTTTAGTTCCATTCAGTAGTTGGTAAATCAGTTATTTGAATTATCTTCAAATGTTGTATGTAAAATGTATTGGTTAGCTTATAGTTTCATTGAACTGATGTAATTTGTATATATTGTATTATTTTCATATGATATATATAACTATATATAATATATTGGCTAATGATAGTTTGTAATTGCAAAATTTTGTTATATCATATTTTTCCTAGTACTTATGCTGTCCTGTCATATCCTAAGCCAAGACTTCCCATGGCAGTTCCATTAGACAAGGAAAGGGTGAGTGAAGTACATGATGGCACACAGTATTTACCACCTGTCTACCTGGCAGCATGATAAACTCAGATATAGCAGTGGTCTGCATTCACAACTTTATTATGGCATTCAAAGGTGAGCTCTCACTGTTCTTCCACTTTAAGTAGGATGTCTTGACAGCCAAGTCTCTCCATGTCTCTTATCTTCATGTGTGACAGCTTTCCTAAACTGGCATTCCCATCTCAGTTTCAGTATCCCTCGTAAGGGTTTTCCTTTCACTTCCATGTTTGAAACTCTCCGTTCATTCTCAAAACATGTCCATACCATCTATTCTGCTATTTGTTAATTTGCCTTTGAAGGTGTTCTGCTTTGAAGCTCACTGTTCATTCATGTCAAATTAAGTAAAAGTACTGTACAGCATTACATAAAGGAAACGTTGCCCTGTTCATAATCACTGTAACATGGAAGCATATTTACGGTGTTGAGTTAAATAAAGTTTCAGGCTTTACAGATGAGTGGTCAGCTTCATCTCAAAGTACACTGGATAGGGGACTGGGAGGAGCCCAGAATTGGTCTGGATGTGGTAATGCAGAGGAAGATCCCGGAGAGAATTTAGTCTTGGTTGTCCAGCTTGTACCCAGTCACTTTATTGATTATCCCAGCTCATTTGCTTTTGAATCCAAGATTAAAATGAACACAGTACAAAAACATTGGTGATAATGAGGTACAGGTAGCCCTCCATTTGCGCCGATTTTGAAACCAGAAAGCCAAAGAGTGAAAAGAAATATATTTTACTATTATTTATAACGTTTTACAATGTTTCTCGTACTGCTTCTTATACTAACTCGTACATCGCTGATTTTGAATAAAAATTATAAATACAATCATCTCTGCAATTACGTATGTTTCGTTAACGAGAATTTGCTCCAATGAGATCGATGAATCGATAAAAGCAGTTTGTGAAATGCAAAGTTTTGCGTATGCGAGTTTGCTCTTATACAATTTCATTTCTGGCGCTTTAAACTTTTGAAAGAAAGAAAGAAGAAATCACGACAGTCCACACTACGTGCCTTCTTTAAGAAAACATGACGATATTCAACCAGGGTTTTCGACAGAGTACTAACGCCGCTTCATCACGCCATCGCTGATTGTAAGTGTTTAAGATCTATTTTTTAAATTCCCTTTATTTTATTTACGTTATTTCAGAGCTTTAAATGTAATGCCATTATATTACTCGTCAATATTTAGGTGCTGGGAACGCGTCATTGACTTCCCATCGATTTACATTATAAAATCGTTCCAATTTACGGCGGTTCGTCCAGGAACACATCCCAGCGTAAATCGAGGGCTATCTGTAGTGAGAAGATTGCTACTTTTGGTTTAACGATTATCCACTCTAGTTACAATTGTATATATTGCTCACCATTCCCCATTAGGAACAGTGTGTCCTTTCTGAGGGTTATTAACCCTTAAGGACCAATGGTAACTATATGCACTGCTTGCTGTGACGGTCAGTAATTCTGCATTTTGCCCACAAAGTGTATTCATTGGTGTCATGAGTCTCGAGAGTAAATAGCTGTAACCAGTTGAGACCTTGTAATGGACATCGATTATGTTTTCTTTGAGGTAGGAACTGAATATATAAATATTGAGGCAAGTTTCAGCTTCATAGGGTTAAGGAATGAATAGGACCATGTACAAGTGCAGTTTTCCACTAAAGCAACCAATCACACCATCTTTACAAGCAACAGCACCCTTCTTACTAAATTGTTCTCACAAGGACAAGACAAATAAAGATGGAAGAACAGAATTTTTTAGGAGCAAGGGCAGGGTTCAGCATGTAACAGACTTGAGTTCATCTTGGCACCTAAATATTTTCTGGAGTACCATTCTAAACTTGTTTTTGCGTTGATGAGAGGGGGGGGGGGGGGGGGAGAGGAATGATTGGCTAGTACATACTACTTCTGTCATACAGATCAGAGCTTCAGTATATGGTACAACTGGAAGCCATTCTGTATAACCAGTCATCACTTACGAAAAAAGTATGAAATGTTATGATTGGTTTTTCAGAAATTATATTAATTGTGCATTATTGAAAGAACCTTGCTCCATATTTTAAATGATGATGCTTGAGTCTTTTTATTATGTAATCAGAGCCTTTTAAATTTTATCATTTTTTATTCTGAGAATCAGTAACAGACTTGTATAAATGTTTTAAAAGATCTATTTTATTGTAGTGAAGTTTCTGCAAAAAAAGTACATAACTACTGGCCAGCACTTTCATTTTGTAATATTTATTTACACCCAAGATTTTTGGAGATCTAAAGACAATTTGTGGCCTGACATAAGTAATAAGTAGTAAATTTTAGGAGAATCATTTATTTGCACTGATGAACTTGTTCCTCATGAAGTATATGGTATTCTAACCATCATAACATTGGAAAGTGGTGTTATGATCTGAATGAAAGATATGAAAATCCAAGTCAGGACAGTGAGTTCCTGTATCTTTTGAATAAAACACAGGAAAGAGATGAGATTGCAATGGAAAAAGTACAGCCTTTAATAGAGTAACATCATGTTTACAATATATTTTCTTAGAGTTGGTCATATACTGTTGCAAATTTCATAACTTAAATTCAATAAAATGCTGTGCCTCCAGTGAAAATTTGATTGTAACAATAAGGAAAATAAGTTTTATGCCTCATGGGAGCATTTAAGACCCCTTTCTGGAGGAATAAACTGTACACCACTAACAATGTAGCTATCACAATAAAATATTAGTGTATGCACATAAAGAAACTCAAGATCTAATATAAGCTGTCATCTTTTGTTTGCAAAATATTGGTGAAGTTCCTTTTCTGTTTGATAACAGTCTGTCGTTTCACATTAAATACAATGACTGACTGACTGATCATGTTAAGGCACAAGTTCAGATTCTATTTTTTCCCTCCCCACACAATGTGAAAAGTGTCCCTCTTCAACACGTAAATGTAATGTGTGCACAAATATATCAAGAGGGGCAGAGAAAGAAGCTCGTGACAGCACGAGTTTCACTGTGTTTACGAAGTGTGTATACAGACTTAATGATGCACTGAACCGTGGTTTGCACCAATGCCATGCTAATGTTGGAATATTTTCTATTGGTGCCAAAACATTATCATTAGTGTTAAAAAAAATAATTTCTTTGAAATGTGATATTATTTAAGTGATACGTAATTTTCTTCTATTTTCAAACAACAGAAATCAATAAGAGCCACAATCAGCTCTCAGTATCTAGTTTGTTTAGCTAACACAGATATTGAGTGGTCTAGTCTACTGAACATGGTTTCCAAAAAGCAAAGACAAATGTTCTAATTACAGTTGAAAGTATCCACTTCCAGTTGTGGAATGCACTAAGGAAGAGTAAAGTTTCTGCATTAAGTTCATAGAAGGGAAACAAAAATACTGAAACCTATGGTCAAACAACACTGGTTGAAATGCTTTAAGAGTCTAGGAATGATGTTTCTACCAGTCTAGTAAGTAAATAGCATCTACAGTGCTGGTTAGATGGAAAATGAGGGTGTCACATCATGAGGAAAACAAATTGCAATAATACAGAACAAGAACATTTTCTAATTTTGCCCAGACATTGTGGAGTTTGGAAATTTAATGTGCAATCTAAATGTTCACTCATAACTATTCAGAAATAATTTTCTGTCACATCCTAGATTTCAAACAATTTGAACAGTTATATATGAAAAGACTTCTGTTAATTCATCTATAACATGTTTCATAGGCCCCTTCTAAATTAACCATTTTCCCAAAACAAGATCTGTAAAGTGCCTGCATTTATGAGAGAGTCATATGGCAAAATAAAATTGTTCATCATGTAAAAAAATATTAACATTATCTTAATTATATGTTTTGGGAACTAATGAGTACCTTTAATGCTAGGAGTGTAAGACCTGTATCACATTACCATTTACAACTTTGTTTGGCTTACATTTTACAAGATAACATACAAATTAAGAAGTGTAAAGTCTAATTTGATTTGAGTAGCCTGAACTCATAAAATGAGGGCTGTCTGTACAGGTGAGGGAGTTACAAGTTCTCTCCCCCAGAAATTCTAGGATGATGAGAAAAGCACAATAAAATTGATAGTCCAAATTTCAAATTACAGTGGCTTCTACTTGCTCTTACATCATGTGCATGGGTCTTCACATTGTTTAATCGAGACAGTTAGGATCTAGTGTAAACCATGTTACAAAGGATGCCAACGCTGGTGTTCTAGGCTGTAATGCTGTGTGGACATGTAGGTAGATACCAACATTCCAGAAGAATGTACTGCCTCCACCTTAAGCCATATTACAACCCAGAAGACCAACACTGACATCTTCAATGCTGTGAGAACCTCAGATCTCATGTTATGAACTATGGCTCCACACATACCTCAATAAAACTTGCAGTGTACAAAGGAAGTGTCTTATCCTCATTGTGACATCCTCACGGTTGGCCATCATATACCTTACCTCAATGGGATTCATATAACTTCACACGCATAAAGCTAACACTAAACCCATTTTGCTTTGATCTTGATGCTTTTACTGATCATACATATAAGGAACATGTCAACTTGTGAATATTTATAGGAAGCTACTGCCCCATCATAGTCACAGAAGTGAATACAATTTAATGGAACTGATTTAGTTTTGTTATGTTGATATCATCTTACATACAGGATTTAAATGTGACAAACAGAAAGCTCAGTCATTTATCTGCTTTGATAGTAAACACACTGGAAATTTCTACATTTCATTTACCGAACTGTTGATGGAGTACAAGAAGGGACAACTGAGGAAGTGCAGGGGACACTTCTTGAAAACAAAATAATTCGATACCATTTTATATTTTTGTCATCCCCAAAGAGTCCTTTTCAAAATACATGAGAAACATTCCTTTATACTAGGGTTTATACAAAAACCGACTTTTGAAAAAACCGGTTTTCGAATTTTTACAAAAAAACGAAATATAATTAAAACAGTAAAAAAATATTTGCTTATTTTAAAATTATTCAGTTATTTAATATTTAGGGAACTACAAAAATATAACAAAGTAAAATATACTCCATACAAAACCAAATAAAAGAAAACTAAAATAACTAAAATCCGTACAAAATATAAATTATAAATTTTTATTTCATTTAGTATTTTTCTTCAGGAAATATGATTTCAAAAAACATAAAATGTCCACTGAACGATTACTTAATCTTGTTCTTATTCTAGATACAAAATTGCCTGAAATAGAAAATACTCTCTCACTGCTACTGAACTTAGTTTTATCATTTTCAGGGCATCAAATAATAAATCTAAATTCTTTGTTCTTTTATTGGTTTCCTCAAATACTGAAAATTCGGCCTTCAGTGTCTTCGGATTTGATATTATTTCTTCAGGTTCCTCAAGAAACCTATGAATTGATTTTTCCACGTCTTCTTTTAGAGCATTGCCCTGATTAATGGTTTCTCCGTCTCTGATATATTCTTCATCAGAATCCGTTTCCATACAAGAATTTGGATATATTCTAGACAATATTTTTCCAAATAACTTAATAATATCAAGTTTTGAAGCTAGTGGAAATACACTAGATTTCTTTGTTGAAATGTTTTGTGGATTTTGTAAATATAGCAAAAGGGTTACCAATCCAACTTGTCTTCTTTCTTGGATTCATACTTCTAAACCATTTAATAATTTGGAACTAATTTCAGCCTGACTCATGAAGATTAGTTTTACTACAATATGCTTGTGCCCGAGGCAATTTCAGGTCAAAATGTTAACGTTTTTAATTAATTAATTTTTACATATTAATTCTAGTACCTAAAACCGGTTTTCGAATTTTACAAATGTATCCAAAAAAACTGGTTTTTAAAAACTGACAAACCCTACTTTATACCACAGACTTCATTAACTGTGCACAATCACCTGTCATATCTTTAAGAATGAATGTAATAATTACAGCAAGTTACTAGCATATACAGATCAACTGAGAAAGGAAGAGACCCTTCATAGAGGAACAATGATCTGCAAAATCACAGACTGAGGGAATAACTTCAATTTTTTGTTCACAAACAGAAAGTGTTGTGCAGAAACAACAATCAACTGGAGGAAGATGGGTCTTATTTCTTTATTCCTGTATATGTTTCAGGTCATATTACACATATTTCTGTAACCAATGAAGGGATGGGCACAGCTGTTCAGTCTTACCTTCAAATCCCAATCAAGACATGAAAATATGTATTATCACCACCATTATAATACTGATTTCCCCACTGTCTCAGAGTTTTTGCCCCAAGCCCTGTACCTTTGTTAAGGTTTATTTTGGTGTTTGTGTGAAGGGATGAAGGACATTTACGGGGATATAATGAAATATAAAATGCTTAATGGCAGAGACCTGAGAATACCTCTTGTACCAGTGGTCTAATGTTAGATCAAGTCTCTTTGGTACATTTGATGGAAAAATCAGAAATCCTGTCCTCCCAAATGCATCTCTCCAATGGTTTTTCCCTCTTATGTAAAACAAGACATTCTCTATGAGGCCACTGAATGACCCTTGTATGGAACATGCTATACTGACTTACAGGATGCAGAAAATACAAAACAATCACAGGTCTACTGGAGGTGAATATATAGCATTAGATTCATATTTAATTAGATGCCATTCAACCAGTATAGGGCTAACACACTAAAAATATCCATAGGTATGTCTGCAAGAAGTTAGAGTACATAATACTTTACATAATATTCAGAGACTTTGGGACCTATGTACTTTCACACTGCTAAATCATAATACAATAACAATGTTAAATGAGATCATCAACATACCCCTGTTTTAACCAGGCCCACTCCTTGTATTCCATGTAACTTTGTCTTAATAAATGTCTCTTCCTTACAACTACAGGAGAAGTATACCAGCTGAATTAATTCTGAAACATTATTCAAGCAAATGCTGAACAAAGACCCTGCAAGATTTCTGCCTCTCTCTGAGCATACATAATCTGGGAAAGATGTCAGCAGAATTTTCATGCTGCCAGTTACACAACTTGACATGACACTTCTGTTCATATATAAAGATGACACCTGAACAAAAATGTAAAAACTGAATAACAATGGTACTTATATGAATGAAATAATAAATAATGTGGAATGTGACTTAAATACCATATGGTCCAAATGAGCAATGGAGGGAGTAAACAATGTTGTCTGTATGATAAATTACTGCTGAAGTCCACCATCATATGCATAGTCTGCCTTATTGTGCATGATGAGACGATCATCTACAAAATAGAAGCTGTCTGAACGTGTCTCAAAGGGGTGAGATATCATCTCCTTGACTGTAAATAAACACACATTAATTCAACACATGGGAGAATGCCAAAGAAAGTGCAGTCCACAACAAACAATACCTATATTCAACTCTGCATCCCAACAGGAGATGGCCATTTCTTGCAGATACAAATATATTGTTTGCAGTTCTAGTCGACAGTGGAACCACAGACTGCTCTTGTTTATGTAAAATAAAGAAAACTTCTGCTTCAGCAACATTTTATGACTTACCGGAATCTGAGTTTTATGTCATATCATTTTCTAAAAGAGTACTTTTTGATAAATTTGTTTAACAGCATTAAGCACAGACCCCTAATGTCAAGTGTCATGGAAATTACTGTTACCATTTATTTATTTGATGGAGTTTCAATGAAATAGAAAAGTTCTTGATATCCCTGCCTATTATTATCTTTGAAGACTGCCAAGGAGTAGAGCAAATGGTCTAAAATTACAATTTTCAGGATCCTTAACTGCACAAGGATGGGTCACTCACCTAGATCAGGTGCAAGAGTGGGGAACTCATAGATGTGCTCACAAGTGTTCTTGCTGTTTGGAATGCAGAATCCAAATTCAAAGTCAAAACTCTTGAGCAACTTGTCCCTGAAGAAATGACGTTCAATCATTCGAAACTTGCTCACTGCTTTATTGCCCACTGTGAACTCCACACTGCAACAAAACTCCTTTATATGAAATGCGAGACTTTCTAAATATTTAATAATAATTCCACACAGCAGAGTCCTTCTTGAGAAACTAACAGTCAAGGAGTTGCCTTTTATTAAACCCAAAGGTTCATTACCATGTTCACAAGAGCATGTTAAGATCCCATCCAACCCCAAAGCTGGATGACCACCACTTGTTACTTGTCCATGACTGCTTTTTCAGTAGATCTGCAGCTACTCTGTTTATCAGTCATGATCGCCAGCCTCAGGGCCAAAAACTGGACACAGTATCTTCAGAGTAAGTGCTAATCTCTCAACTGGATTTTGGATAAAGTTTTAATATAAAGGTGCATAAAATAACACATTCAGTAACAGTATAAATAAAATCACTTTTCATTAAAATTAATACATAATCACTATATGGTATCAGAATAGTGATGAATATAATGAGAAATTGTGGGTTAATGATGCTAGAAAAATTTCTATAAAGATTAATTTTTATATTCTTGTTCATATAATACTTACGTAGCTCCCACAGTCTTCAATTTAAGAAACTGTGGTGTAAACTGATATCTGACAAAGCGACCAGCATTGGGATCCAACTCCTCTTGTTCTGGTTCTGGATCAGCCTCTTCTGAATCTTCATGTGAATGAAAACAGAAACACCAACACTGACAAGTTCTACTAAATACAATCATAATGCAACATACACTATATGCAACTGTTATAAGTTATACGATACCTGTAGGAGGTGGCTTTGCAATTTCAAACAACACTGTACCACTCTCCAAATCACGAATTTTGAAATGTGTGAAGTCAATATCATATACATTGGCTTCAGGTGAGCACAAATAATCTGAAATGTTTTAAAAAAAAATCACATTATCAAGCAGAAGAAACTCTCACTACAATGTGATATTCAAGGACAATCATAATACTAACTATCTGTTATTCTTGGAAGCCGCAGCACATCCTCAGGTGAGACGAATCCCTTCTTCACCACTGACTCTTCTGTAACAAGATCTGTAAACGAAACAAGTTTTTATGGTTGTTGGTGCCATTTATGAGGGACTACAGAAAAGAGTTGTCACATCACTATTCAAGAAAGGAAGAAACAACTTTTGAATTCTATGGAGTTTCGGTATTTCACTGTCATTTTTGTAATAATAAAAGTTTAATTAGCAATTATTATTTTGAATTTACTTAACCATCTTTTCCGATCACAGATTTCACCACTGATATGTGTACTTCGGCTGGTTGGAAAATGTCAGACCAAAAAGTGCATGCAATACATCATAAGGTATCGCATTAATATGATATAAACAATTACCTCCATCTAATATTACGGTGTCTTTACGCGCTTTGGCTTGTCTTACACCGACATTTGTAACCACACTCTTTTTATGTGCAGCGTTGCTCATAATACTCATTTCTACGTACGTTTAGTTCAAACACCTGATTATTCTCTTGACCACACACACTGCATACACTTTCCAACATAGACATACACATAAATTAACAAAAATATGAACAATGTAAACCTCTTGTTAACGAATCAATCACAATTTTCTTTTAGATTTGCTAAACTATAATTCGAATACATATCAAAAGATGTCGCGTTAAAGTAACGGCTTTGTTTTTTTTCCCAGTTGGCTGCAGGTTGCTGGGTCGTGGGTGATTACGATTGTGGGAAAGAAATAATGTCTGGTGAAGAGAGATGCCAGTTGTACAAGATGCTAACATATTATGACAAAGAAACAAGCAGAAATTTAATTTATATAAAAATTAATCATAAAATAAAGGTAAGTTGAGATTTGAGGTCCTCACGGCGACGAGTGTGAAGATGGCTGCTTTGTGGAGTGTTGATCCGTATAATATTGTAGATAAATTCTAAATCCTACAAACATAAAGTTTGCTGACATTTCAGAGATGTTTGCTGCCCCCATCATCAGGACGGTCAGCTACAAATTTCACATCTTGTCAGAAACTAGACAAATGAGTGTGAAAGCGTAAACATAGATTTATGTCTATCAAAATTACATATCTTTGTTTGCTTACACTGTTCTTGTAAATGTTCCAGGTCTGTGATGCTGACACATGACAAGGACTTGGTTTCATCACCATCTGCTGTAACAGCGAGCGACTACTGACACACAGCTGTATGAAGCAGGTAATTTAACAGTTTGAGGTTTCCATGATAGTGAAAATGTGGATTGTAGTCTAATGGGTTGTGATGCTTCATAACCTTGTAGGTGGTTGCCAATGTCATAACTACCATCAAAACCTCAGACTTCATATAGTTAAATAAAACATTGTAATCTGAGACTTTTGAGCTACGTGGGCAGTAAAACATTGTAATTGAGACTTTTGAGGTACATGGGTAATGGACAATAGTACACAAAGATAAACATTGTGGTCTATACTCCTATCCTATCTTTGTTGCTTTATTGTATGAGAGATATTTGTGGTTTTCTCATGTAGCACACAAGATATAAGAAGCAAAGTCATATGAAAATTGGAAGATTAAGCCTAAAATGAAATAATAGTACTCAGATGCTAATGTAATTGGCTAAGGAGAGTTGGCCAGTCCTGTACATTGCAGCTTGAATATAAATTTTAGAATCTGTTAGAAAATGTTTACAATTTTAAATAGGAGTGTGATACAAAGGCCAGTTAATGAAGGTGCCTTCATCATTGGATCATAATGAGATAAACAAGTAATACTTT